GGATCAGGGACCAAATCAGCTTGGATCATGGTTTGGCCACACCCGGAATCCACTAATACCACGAGCAATCCATGAAGGGACAATCCCTCTTTAAATGTCCTTTTTGTCCACACTCAAAGTAGCAATTTCGAGGAGATGCCTCTCCTTTGGGTACTAAGCCCCATTCTCCTCCCTTGCCCCAATTTTCTCTCGGGATTTCCTCTAGCCCCTCTTTGACATCTTCCAGGGCCTTACACCTTTTTCCTCTGCCTAGGCTTACTCGGGTTTCTACCCCTCTTCCGCCACGGAACGGGCGGCCCCTCCCTAGGATCCCTCGTTCCTGTCTGGCCTCCTTACCTTCCTTTCCTAGCCCTCCTGGAGCTTCTGCAGCTAAGTAATCCTCCATTAGTGTCATGGCATCTGTTAGGGTCGAAGGGTGGTGCCTACACACCCATTGTTGCGCCCCCATGGGTAAAATCTGCTGAAATTGTTCCAAAACTATCGTGTCTGCTAACTGTGAGCTGTCATGTTTGTCCAGTTCCAGCCAGTGCCAGCCTAGTTCCCGTAACTTCTGGGCTACTATACGCGGCCGGGCGCCCATGGGATATCGTTTTTGTCTGAATCTCTGTCTATAGGTTTCGGGAGTTATACCTGCTTGATCCAGTATAGCCTCCTTGACCTTGTAATAGTTTAGTGCCTCTTTAGCGGCCAGGCTACGATATGCTGTAAGATACAGGGCAAGGAGGGTTGCCCAATGCTCTTCGGGCCAGCGGGAGGCTAGGGCCACCCTCTCAAATGTGACCAGATAGGCTTCAGGGTCATCCAACGGCCCCATCTTTGTTAGCCTAATTGGGAGCTGGGTCGTTCCTACTTGTCCTTCTGTTCCTACTACAGGAACTCCTCCACTAGCCTTCCCTAAGGCTGCCCCTTGCTGGAGCCATCTTTCCTGTTGGTCCGCCATTTCCCTAACTAACTGCTGTTGCTGCCCTTGAGACTGAGCAGCCAACTGCTGAAGCAACTGAACCTGCTGTTGCTGTTGTTGCTTTTGCTGTTCTACCAGCCATTCTAGTACTTTGGCTGGATCCATACTTGTTTTCTCTGGATTTCCCCCCAAAAGACAAAAACCCTCTCCCTCTCCCTCTGTGTGTGTGTGTGTGTGTGTGTGTGTGTGTGTGTGTGTGTGTGTGTGTGTGTACCCCTACCCTCAGGTTACGGATCAGGTACCCACATTCTCCATCATGTGTTATAGTGCATTACCGCCCGCCGTATTTTGCGGTTGTCCTTATAGTTTGGGTTTCGGCGAGAGTTTGTGTTTGGGTTATCAGTTCCCCCAAAAAGACTGAGTCGCTGACGGGGAAGGAGACCTGGACCCGCCCTCACTCCAGGTCTCAACCCAGGACCCTAAGAACAGGTTCAACCGATACCTGTTCGACTGGTTGCAGGGGGGGGGTTGTCCTTCCCGAAACTCACCAGTCTGTGAGCGATGTCTTGCCCTTTAAAGCTGGCGCCTGGTCTTCTGGACGCCGGTGCATGCACTTTCCGCCCCCGCGCGGAGCGAACGGGCTGGGACACACTGCGCATGCGCCTCCAGCGGATGCCAAGCAAGCCCGGCACAGCCGCTTATCCCTTGCCGCGCAGGAGCTCCATCTGCCTTTAGTGCGGGGAGCGGGACTTGTCACAGCACCTCATTGGCATGTGTTCTTGCGCAAGATTGGGCAGTGTAGACGTAGCCTAACTGTTCAGACAAAATGGCATTCTACACAGAGAAGTCAAAATACATTGGGCTGGTTGTAGCACTGGTAGACCAGGTGCGAGCTTATGCCAAAGCCCTTACACCTCACTGAACACTGACAAATGCATAGCTGGAAACCTGGTCTGGCTCACCTGTGTGTTAGCATTGTTAAAATAGATATTAAGTTTGTAAGAATGTATTTCATGTTTGGACTTTATGAAATGGTTGTGAGTTTCTGCATGTATTAATATGTTACAACATCTGTATCCCATTTTCTAAAGTAAAATTTAAGAGTTTTGCTCTGTACAGGCAGTCCCCGACTTACGCGGATCCGACTTATGTTGGATCCGCACTTACGAACAGGGTTTTCTTGCCCCGGAGCTCGCAGGCAGCGGTCCGCCACCTCGACCTCCGGGGCGAGAAAAGCTGCTCCCGGTGCCCCTGGTCTGCTGGGGACCGTCCCCAGCAGACCAGGGACACCGGGAGCAAAGCCGCAGCCCCGGCGGGTTTGCTCGCGGTGCCCCTGGTCTGCTGGGGACCGTCTCCCGCAAACCAGGGGCACCCGGGGCAAAGCGGGCCCGCAACTGTGAGCTGAGATAGTTATATAACTGGGAGTGCTGCAAACTCCACACAAACATGAGTTTTACTTACACTGACGGGGATTGCTGGACTCAGGGGAAGCTGGGAGAATATTCCTGTGGCAATTTGAATTTGTCTAGCTCAAAATTCTACGTAAACCAGCAAAGATCTGGTTTGCTTCCAACCCTCACAAATAAAACTGCAAGATTCAGAACATGAACTCTCTTCACAAACTAAATCCTTCAAATTTTGCAGAGCCCTGGAGATGTGTTTGTTTATTTGTTAAAAATATTTTTACCCCGCCTCTCTATTTAAAATATTCAAGGCAGCTTACACATTTTTAAAAATACAATATAAATATATATAACAATTAAAATGTGTGTTCCCTTACACTCTGAGCTAAGTCCTGCATGTTTTACCAGAGCATTTTTCACCACAATGAAGCTAAGAATTTCTAATTTCAATAGTGGCGCGGCACCTTGTCGCTCTGCCCCAGGCTTCCTGGAATCAGCTGCTGATCAGTTTCAGCAGCAGCTGACTTGGGGACGCTTGGGGTTCTTAAGTTGATTCTGTATGTAAGTCATAACTGGCGGTCAGTTTCAGCAGCGGCTGAATCTGGACGCCAGTTCCGACTTACATACAGATTCAACTTAAGAACAAACCTACAGTCCCTATCTTGTACGTAACCTGGGGACTGCCTGTATAAGCTTTAAGGCCTATGAAAATAGCCGTGTAGTTCCAGTTCTGGCTAGTAGGTGGTGCACATAAATGATAAACAATATGCAACAATAATATTGTTTCACACAGAAGGAAATTAACACAGTAAAGAAAAGCGTTTTGCCAGGAACTTAGATGTTCCTGCCTCCTAGCCCCACACAATATTTGCCCTATCTCTATGGCTTCGTAGATGTCACATGAGTTTCAGCTGTGTGCTGATTGGGCATCAAACTGACCTGAGGGTTGAGACCCATTGTACTACATCATTTTTTCATCAATAACAGTATGAACAGCAATATTTCAGAGACAGGAGCAAAGACATGCATTCACATTTTATTAAAAGAATGTGTGTTCGGGAACGTTTGTTGGAGGTCCTGGGAATTCATTACAGTTCCCAGTGAGTGCGACCAGAAAATATTTGACAAGCACTAGTCTGCCACTGTCCTTTCCTGATTCAATTTGCAATAAAGGGCAGCAGCATTAACTTCTTTCACTCTGTTTGCCACCATGTTTGCTGCCTAGATCTTACTACATTTAAAATGCAGACATGTAGCGGGAGTAGCTCACAGACCTGGTGCGAGCCAGGACTAGCAGTCCTAGCTCATGCTGATCCAGGACCACTGCAGCACTGTTCCATCTCCCGCTGTGGCTCCCAAGTTTAAATGTAGTAAGAGCTGGGCTGCAGAGCAGCAGTGGTGGTAGCTCCTGGACCGATGTGAGCCAGGACAAAGCACCTTCCCTTCTTGACTAATGGTGTAGTCGACACAAATTGTGTCGACTACACGATTAGTCAATTGCCTGCATCCTAACATCCTTAGTTAAACCTGTACCTAAATACCTTGTCCACCATAGTAACCTTCTCCCCACAAACCACACACCATCCACCGCTAGACATCCTGCACCTAACAGCTCTCCCATATACCAGCCCAAGTACCTCTCCCCCTCACATCCTGGCGACGTCTAGACTGGCATGATTTTCCGCAAATGCTTTTAACGGAAAAGTTTTCCGTTAAAAGCATTTGCGGAAAATCATGCCAGTCTAGACGTCGCCAGGATGTGAGGGGGAGAGGTACTTGGGCTGGTATATGGGAGAGCTGTTAGGTGCAGGATGTCTAGCGGTGGATGGTGTGTGGTTTGTGGGGAGAAGGTTACTATGGTGGACAAGGTATTTAGGTACAGGTTTAACTAAGGATGTTAGGATGCAGGCAATTGACTAATCGTGTAGTCGACACAATTTGTGTCGACTACACCATTAGTCAAGAAGGGAAGGTGCTTTGTCCTGGCTCACATCGGTCCAGGAGCTACCACCACTGCTGCTCTGCAGCCCAGCTCTTACTACATTTAAACTTGGGAGCCACAGCGGGAGATGGAACAGTGCTGCAGTGGTCCTGGATCAGCATGAGCTAGGACTGCTAGTCCTGGCTCGCACCAGGTCTGTGAGCTCTGACATTTATATTTTCCAATTTATATTTTCTCAATTTGTTTCCGAAGCAGAAAGCTCAAATACTGGACTGTCCGGTTCAAAACCGGACACCTGGCAACCCTAATCACATCACAAACAGCCCACAAGCCAGATAACTTCCCCCAAACCTACCACTTTTTCCCCCTTTTCCCCCTTCCAGTGTTTCACCACCCCGACAGGCAGGAAGTTTTTCCTAATGTCCAACCTCAACCTCCCTTGCTGCAATTTA